TAAGAACTTCAACATTTTGCAAAAGGTAAAGAAAAAAAAAAAGGAAAGCTGTACTATTTTCTACAACTCCATACCTCCTTTCTACTAGTTTAATAAAATGCACAGATCATGGACAATATAAAGGGATTTATGCTTTCCAACTCCCAGCCCCAACACCCAGTGACCTACCTCTGCTTATCCGGCTGGTGCTACTGGTTCCTGCCTCCCCAGAACGTCTCTGGTCCTGCTCTTGCTGAAGTCTTTGAATCATGCTATCCAATGGACTAATTTCTTGGTTTACTTGCTGACTAAGAACTTGATTCAATCCTGTGAAGTAAAATATACAGAACAACACACAAATGTAAATTTTTAGGAAATTCATGTTACAGACAGTTCATCTAAGCTTTGAAACAAGTACAGTAAATTCTCACATGCGTAACTATGGGTTAATGCTTATTTTTCTAACAGCCATTTCTTAAAAGAAGACAACTTCTTTTCTTTATATATTTGAGAGCATTATATTTTCTGGAGCAAGGTCAAGATGACCATATTTCACTTCTAATAAAAGGTTAAATTTGATCAAGTGCCAGCAAGCCACAGAAGCTTAATACAACTGTTGTTTGTCAGCTCAGTCAATGCAAATTGTTCAAATGAAAAATTAGTCTGCCTCAAATGCATTAAAAAACACTTTATAGGCTTCAATGAAAGAACTACATCAAGAAGGTCTAACTGAATTAGAAAATAATTATCTAGACTGTAGAACACCAAGTAGTAAAAATGTTTAATTGAGCTCCACATGGACATAATGACCACACAGATCAAGTAATGGTAATTTTCTCTGGTATGTAAAACAGCCAAGAAACCTCCTTTTGGGTAGGTCTTGTGAACAGAAGATGGGAAACAGTTCCAAAAAAGTGATTACAAGGTGATATTACTGTTTCCAGCAAGCAAAATACACTGCACATAAGCATGAACAACACAAAACCTGCTTTCATACTTACAATGATCACAAAAAACAGAGAGGTAAAGAGAAAAAGACAAGGGTTACAGTACTGATTCAAAAAGAAGTCAGACATCTCCACACAGAATAGTGAGATGGTGGAGTGGAATGGTGGGAAGTTCTAGTAAAGAGAAGCAGAACTTGCAAAACTTGGTAATGAGGAATAACAATGTTCGAAGAAACAAGATATAGAAATTATTTTTCCAGCATGATTCCAAAGAAATATCACAATATTTACTGCATTTTTCAAGATCAAAGACTAGATATTACAATAATTATGCTATGAAATGAAGAGCTTTGATTGTGTGGCTGCACAGAAGCTGCTATCTCTTTACAGTATGTAGAAAAAAAAACATATTTAAGATCGTGTTCTCAGGCTTTAAAGGTTATTGAAGTCAACTTCCCTAAAGCAGCAGAACCCTGGAATAATGGAATGAGATCTGGTAGCACCACAGTTGGATGTTTTCTAAGTCACGTGAGTGAGACAGATCAATTTGTTAATCTCGTGAGCAGACATACTGTCTACTGAGAACAATGGGAAACACTACTATTAACCCAAGAATGAGCTTAAATAAGGAAACTGCTATCTAAACAAAATGAATGTTTTTATGTATCTAGCATGTGAGACAATGTCTTAGCAAGAAACAGCAAGTGGTTTCTTTTTAAATAACATAATAAAGATACTGGTGTATACTTGATTTTTCCAAAACATCTGGTTTGAAGGAGCTTCACGTTCATCAAGGCAGTAAATCAAGTACTACTATCCGAATTCCCCCTACTCTTACAAGTCCCTACAGAAAACTTAACAAGAAATAAATTGTCAGTGCTCTGAGTGAGATGCATCAAATCCCACAACAAAGCTCCAGAAAGAAAGTGAACTTCCTTAGTGGAAGGGAACATATATATAAACGCTGTTTAGGTCTGCTACAACTGCATTGTTGCTATATTGTAAAAAGATAGAAAAATGTCTTGTGTCTCTCCATCACCTATCAAGCTGGCAGATGGCTCCCTGCTATTAAACAAAATGCTATGGACATCATCTTCCTATAGGCATTCATGTGTCATGCAGACAGACCACTAAATTTAATTTTGTTGGGTCTGTGTGCAGAGTCTGACTTGTTTCAAGATATATTGAAGGATGTGCCCGGGACATTTTCAAATTTGGAGAATTTCACGATGCAATGGATTCACACTTTAACTGTAACAATGAAGTAAAGTGGCATCCTTCCCTAAAAATCAGAATTTTTTCAAAGCCACTAGCCAAGAAATTAACATTTAACAGGAAAGATATTTTCCTTCTTACAGTTGCTTCTCAGCTAGCATTTCTTCCTGTATTTTTGGAAGAAATATGTAAATCCTCCTCTAAAAATATTTAAATATTCACTGCCCTATAATCCTGAGGGCTACAAATAAGGATAGAGATTTTTTTGTTAAAAAACACTCTCAGTTACCCTTCCTGGAATGTCTGACACACCACAGGCTTAAGTATCAGGAACATATAAACTCCAATTTACAGGAACAGTCAGTTTTCACATCTTTTGAAGAATATCCAAATAGTTAATAATGCTTATTTGGAAAACATTTAAAGCTACTTTCAACAGTCACTGTTTGCTTATTCATACTAATATAAAACTAGTGACAAATAATAAGCAGGCCTTGTTTTTGCATCCCTACCCATGCGGAACACCTTTAAGCAATTTCCAACAGCCAGCCATTGGCCCAATATATGTGTGTTCTTCTCATGTCATGTGCATGAGAATAAAACTTTCAAGATTTCTAGATTTTTGTATCTTTATCAAGTCTTCAGGTCTTTAACCAAATCACCATAGTTTAAAATTAATGACTGTCTTCAACTAAAAAGGAACAGAATTTTGCTTCTTTCAGATGTCTTCTCATTTTTCTGTTCTTGTAGATGTTACCTTTTCTAACATATCTGTGGAAGATCAGTCTATTTCCTAGGTTTTCTAAAGCAGGAAATCTTATCCCAAAGAGATAACTGAGAACTCACACAGCATTGTACATTGCTCCAGTAACAAAATGAACTCCTAGCTAACTGGTGTTGTAGCATCAACTAGTGCCAACTTGATTGATGACAATACTGCAAATGAAATTGTCACAAGCAATCAGTGCCAAAGACACTGCAATTCTTCCACACTACACGAACTACTATGCCCATAAATAAAGAAAAAGGACAAAGTGAAAGTGTAGAGCAACTGAAGGTAACTAGATAAGACTACTGTTCAGTGAAGTGAAATTTTCCATACCTGAAGATGTCACTCCCATCTGAGGAATAAGCTGTTCCTCCCTGCAGTTCTCACGACCAGGAACTAGTCTTTGATACCTTGCAGGATGAGGGTTGCCATCCACATCAACCAAAAATGGGGGAGGCATAAGGTGTGGAGCCTGCTGTGTCTGTTCATCCAGGACAAAGTTGTTGGCATCACGGATAAGGGGCCGATAATCACTATGAAAGAACATCTGATCTGCTATCTGTAAACAAAGTCATTTTGTAATTTTTTTAAAGAACCTATTACAAAAGCATACAGAAGAGAACTGCCAAAAATATTTTTAACAATGGTACTCATGGTCACTTTTGCAAAAAACAGAGCTATAAGCTGATGTGTTTATGTCAGTTTAAAAGGGAAAATTGAATGACTCCATTATTATTTTGTTTCAAAGCACTCTTTTCTATGTTACACCGCAAAGAGAATAATCCACATGTTTGAGAGTGGGAAGCATTTAAGAAGAGGGGAATGGGGTAATATTTAACTACCAGAAGATATCTGACCAAATACAGCATTAATGTAAGAGTTTATAAATTTTCTTCTATAGTCTGAATATATGACAAAATTTTCTAATAATAAAAAATTGTGTCACAGACTTATGAGATATGGTGCAGGCAGAAAACTAGGAAAAATATTTATTACATCAGGGAATTGCCAAATATTTTAACACCATCAAAATATGTATACCTTTACTATAATGCTAGATATCAGAAAAAGTTTCAGTTGATAAAATAAAGCCAAGATAAAAATTGAATTTTTCACTAAATTTTCTTTTTTAATTCTGTCCACCCGCTCCTAATTTTTTATTATTATAGATGACTTTCCACAGACCCTCAAGACTGAAGAATTTTTTGTCCAAATAAATACAAAAAGATGTATGCTCCATCCCTCGCTGGCACATGTATCTCAGTATTGTGCAATAAGAAAGATACTGAAGTGCAAGGAGAAAAGAAAAGGTGAATAAAGAGAAGCTGATGCATGTACTACACATCCCAAGACTACCTACTGGCAAAGAAACCCTGTGGCAGCCCATGTTTTTAGCTGAACCATGAACAAGTGAAATTCAAGTAATAAAATCATCATTCACACAAATTAAGATTTCCAGTGCAGTATAAAAACAATTAAATTATTGACTCAATGCACAGAGATGTCAAAAAAAATCTCATCTTTTGAGCATCGAGGGGCATGCCCAAATTGTCATAGAACATCCTCTGATCTCTGGAGAGTATGCTCTATCATGCAACTTGTTATGTAGAAATCAGTAAGGCAGATTATAGCAGCTACTCAGAGGTCTGATCTCTCAATGACAAATGTCTCCCGTCCTGGAACCAAGAAGACCAGAAAACAAAGATGACAACAGACATTTGTCAATTATAACATCAGAAAGTGCATCCATATGAAGAGGATTTTTAAAAAAGAATTGGGAAAAAAAATAGGAATCGTGGGATTTAGACTTCACAAAAACTTAGAAACATAACAACAGGAAGAAATTGGAAAGATACAGAGAAAGATGCAATGGAAAAGAATTCACTTTATAGATTCAAAAGACTACTCTTACAAAATGCATATGGACAAGGTGATACCCCACTGCAGTAAAAACCCAACTGGATTAAATCTTGCTTCCAGAGTCCTTGTTAACAGAGGATGAATGAAAAAGATAAAGGTGCTTTCATGTGTCTGACTGACAGAATCAAGGCTTGATTAATACTTTTGTTTCTTCATCTCACAATAGCTCAATATGATAGAGACAGAGGTCCCCCTAGAAGGACTTACAATGTCTCTGAAAATCATAATAGAATATACATTACTTACACCTAGTATAAGTATTCCTACTAAGTACTTCCCACACTGAGAAAGAAGGAGTTCCCGATGGCAAGGTCATACAATCTTAGTTTTATTATGTTGTGTCTTAGCTGTAACAGTGTAGTCTGCATCCCAGGTTTTGCCAGCAAGCAAAAAGAAGACCTGGTACAAGATCACAAGGGACTTTGTTGCAACTACACTTCTGTGTACCCTATATTGCAATCATATAATAGAGTAAAAAACAATTTTCTACTCCATAAGATAACATGGCATTTCTTGGAGAATACATGGTCAGGACAACTCTCGGGTAGAATATCCCTACTGGAATCCAGGAAAATATCTTATCCTGAGAAAAATCAGAAGAATTAGACATTCCATCAGAAAACCAGCCAGAAGTACTAACAATGAGACTTATTTGTTTATATACTATTAGAGATCAAATTCACGACAATAAGATGCTATCACACTACCATTTGCATATGAGTCTTCTATTCATATGACTTCACAAACCCAGCTTGGGAATGAGCACAAAAGAAAGCTTTCCACAAAGTCTGAGCTCTATAGCATGCTCAGTTTTTCCAAATGGGTGCAGTTACATAAAGAGGTTTTCCCCAGTCCTGTACCAATCCACTGTACATGAACTGCCAACTTGCAGCTAACTACTATGGTTTGGGCAGTCTGCAGGAAGAAATGCCTTGGAAAGCTCAGAGATCAGGCTCCCTAGGAAAGTTGTCATGGCACCAAGCCTGCCAAAATTAAAAACCATTTGGACAATGCCCTCAGGCACATGATGTGCTTTGTGCAGAGCTAGGAGTTGGTGATCCTAGTGGGTCCCTTCCAACTCAGAATATTCTATGATTTAAAATCAATAGAATAGTACCTTACACTTTAGAACTGCTAGGCATTCCTGGACAAGTTTCCACCTAATCAAGACCTCCTGAAGTGCACATGCCCTGTTGACAGCGAACTCGGCTCAACTCTGATAATGACACGCTCAGATTTCGGTTGAGATTAGCTCAAGGAAACCCAAACAAACAGCACATGTATTTTTTTATTTTCCCCAGAAAATAATTAATTCACAAATTCACAAAAATATGTATCATATTAAAAAAAAAAAAAAAACACCAACAGAAACAAAAACAACAACAAAAAAAAAACCAAACAAACCAAAACAAACCAAAATAAAAAAAACAAACTCCAAACAAAAAACAAACACCCCACCCCATTCACCTTCATTGTGGCCAAGCTCACACTGCAGGGGAAAGAAAGCCTAGGCATTGGTTCCAGTCAACTAGGAAATGTAGATACTATGTGAGCATACCATGAAAAATAAAGATGTAGAAAAACAAGAGCTTGTTCTCTCAGTGGAATTAACACTATCTCAGCTATAATCACTGCCATTTCAAAAACGCAGGAATACAGAACAGGTTACCACTCTTCTTTCTTCTGTAAAATTAATTTCCCCATAGAGATGGGAAACACTTTAAAGGCCAAAAAATGCACATCCTACCAGATCACAGTCTGACAAGATGTCTGAAACCCTCTCCAGTATCTGAGGGGAGAAAAACAGAAAAAAACCCCCACCATCTCCAGCACCTACCTACCTGTAGTTACATTTTCCCATAAATCAGGTCAGACAAAAACGGAGGTGATGAAACCACTCATGGAAGACACCAGACACTTCCAAGCTGAGTTTTCTGTGAGTGGAAGACTGAGATTAAAGTGGCAACAAATACAAGTTGTATTTGCTCCTATTTCTTCTATGATCAAGAATGCCAAGAGTAACATTGGCACAGCAACAGCTGTAGAGGATTATTTTAAATCATTCAATAAGTGAAAGATTTAAAACAATCTTTTCTCAGCAGCTGCAGCAAAAAACCCCAAGAGAGCAAAGGATCTGTAGAATTCAAGCAGGGAAAAGCAGCTATATTCATTCTACGAACAGATTTAATCCTTCACAGGTAAATTCTCAAATGGCAGTATAAAGAAAAATTCTGATCTATCATAATGAAGACCAAAAGACTCACAGTTTCAATTTCATTTCCAACATTTCAAAGTAGCAGAGAACTACATACTTCCAAAACAATTGGAGAGAAAAAGAAACCTGAAATAATCAATCCACGGGCATAGTAAGAAAAATGTACCTATTACAACAGGCTTTAAAGTCAGGAACAGTAAGAATCCTGAAACACAAAGAAAATTATCTGATAATCCTGATTTTCCTTGCCTGTGATGTCTCTACTTATTTGTTTTATTTGGAATGGAAGGGGAAATCATAGATAGTAATAACTGAGGGGTAGCAGCTTAGTACTGAGGACTTCAAATCATAGTTGAGAAACAAGAAGAAAAAATAAATCCCCAAATGCAAATCCTTCTGTAAGACTACAGAAAGAAATCCAGTCGCTTACAAGCTTGTTTCCTTTTGCTCTCCCTCCTTCAGGTCCCTCTGCACTGCTGTTTGCTAAAATGCTTTCAAAACCAGCCTGAGTCCAAAGATCCAAAGCAGGAGGCTAGATCCAAAAAACAGAACTTCACCAATAGCATTCAAGTGTCAGCTACTAGAAGCAGAGATGAAAATGGAGCAGATAGGTCTACTTAAGTCTTAGGAAAAGGCAGAAGAGAACACACTTCATTTCTTTCCTGGGGGATAAAAGAAGAACTAAGATCTTGTGGACACTCCAAACCTGTATGGTTCCCAGAGCATGTTCATCCACAAAAGAAAAAAATAACACCACATATCTTTACAGTCATGAGGGTCTGTGGCAGGACACCCACACTCAGAATACACAATGTAGACTATGACATTAGAATAAAGATATAATATTTTAATCACACTAATGGTGGAATATTGCTGTGTAAGCACAAAGGCATCCATGATGGTACTACATTAACAGACATAAAATTGCATCACTAAAACACAGTACATTTTTTATAAATAACTCTCCCACAGGCTATGCAATATTTAAATACAGATAGCGGGAATTAGTTCTGTTACACACTCATTTTTTAGGGCTTAGTTTGGAACCAGAAAAGAAATATTTCAAGTAAAATGTGTAACTATTATCAGTTCCACTGCAGCTTATTCCCATTATCTATGTGGATCCATTAGTAGATATGTGTAACTTTGTCACTTAAGAGAATAGACAGTTACTGGTTAATTTTGAATTCTCTTTTTAAATTATTGCTATTACTATAATTTTGAACTTCCTATGTGAACAGTAGCTTAACAGAATGTTTCCATAATTAAAAAAAAAGACAGTGAAAGAGATCTCATTGTCAACAACAGACATCCAAAACATCCCATATTAATGGCTCAAAATTGCATCAAGATATGCCCTCTTGAAATGAAGCTCTGAAGAAAAGTTTGCACAAATACATTCAACACAGACAAACATTTTGATTTATATCTTGCACTGTACCTTGTCATATTTGCTACTGGAACCAAAGCCAAAAATCAGAAGGTGACCGTGAGAGTCAGTACATGCAAAATGCTGTCCATCAGGAGAGCACTTGCAGTCAAAAACTGCACCATGTCCTTGTCCTTCAATCTGAAATACATCAACATAGAAAATAATTAACAGAAATTAATAATTTTCATTATGAGTCTCAAAACTGTGGTGCTGACATTGAAAGTTCTTACAAAATCTGTATGACAGTATACTGCTAGATGGAAGTTACTTTAAAACAAAGCTTACTTTTTTAGCTATTCACTTTCCAGTGAATTTTGTAATAATGCTCATGAAAGATTCAAATTGATAGCAGTAGAAACTGACAGACTTTATCCACAAAGCAGGCACAGTATAGGAAGTGAAAATAAAAGCTTCCCCTTGAACGTCCTGCTAATGAACCTAACCAGAGAGCTGGGCCCAGTTCAGGGCTTAGTCACTACACCCTTTCCATCCTCTGCCTTCTTGCTAAGCTACCCCAGTAGCAGTGGCTGCTGTGGTGTTCCACAACACCTGCCCCCTGGAAAACACACTGACAGACAACCCACATTACACAGCTTAACAACTACCTGCTCCTACTCCTAATTTATTGGAGTGGGGAAGGAGTAAATTTGCGTAAAAACTCCACCTTTTATAGGAGAACTGCAAAGATTTTAAAAAAGGAATTTTTACCTGATACTCATTTTCTGTTTTCCAGTTCCATTAAGCCAGAACAAATGGGTTTTTGTTTTTCCCTGCAACCTGTCAATCAAGCAGAGGTGACCAATCACCACTCTGAATTTTCATGTCTTCAGCACCTCTTCAGAAAGCCCCTTTCTATTCTCCCCAGCAAAGCACTTTTGCATTTTCTTTAAAGAGACACCAGACAAAATTCTTTCCCTAACTGTGGCAGGCCTATATATTGCCAGGAAAGGGAAGAAAAAAAACAAAACAAAAGCAAAACACAACAATATTCAGCCTTCAGACAGTAACACTATGCACTTCTGCAGCACCTTCCAGAGGCCATCAGCATTATTTTAAAAAGTTAACACATCAAGCCTCAAAAATCCTGTGAGGTAGGTACTGTTTTCATTCTCTTACAGGCTGAGACAAAGGCGAGAATTCTAAATCTTTTCCCCACAGTCTTACAACAAATCCACACCCCTGCACATCCCCCCAGTGAGAGGCTGCTACATCTATTGCTTTCAGGACTTCCTTACTACAGGTAATTTCCCTAAAAGTCAAATGAGTTTTTGGACTAGTAAAAGAGGAACATAAACCAATGCAAGTTTTATGTTCTATTTTGCCCATTATTCCAGAAGAAATGAACAGAAGGACCTCACAGAAAGAGATGGAAAATAAAAAACAGAACTTCAAGCAAGTGACACTAACATCACAGCAGTCAGGAATGCAGAATTAATTTAGTCTAAGCAAGATCCAACTACCATAGCAAAGTTGCAACTTAGTGCTGCTTTTGCATATAGAAAGGTCACTGTATTAACGGGAGACAGTTCGGGAAAGCAGGAGAAAAGCAGACAGAATTTCACCACAATAATCAGCTTTGCAGAAATTAAAAAAAAAAAAAATTGTAAAAGAAATATTTTAGAGATATAACAGATTTCTGTTCCCTTACCCTTCCCTCCAACAAAGGAAACATCAGTGTCAAGCTTCCTAATGCTCTAGTCTTTCATAAATAGAATTTCGGGGTTCAGCCTAAGTTTTTAATACGTTTTGTTTTACAAGGAAAACAATACATGTGGGAAGAACTATTTGCTAACCATGGTGAGGGAAAAAACGAGAAACAGGAAAAAAATCCAAGTACCAAGATGATGGTTTTTTTAATCCTTTCCATCAAGAAATGGTTCAGATGGACCATTTTCAAGAAACCCCTGGAAATTAGAGAGTTAACTGGAAAACATAACCTTCTTATGTAAAGGAAAAGAACAGTCTTCTACTATTTGGGAGCAAGTACAATGTAAATAGTTTTAATCTAATCGTGCCCAGAATCTGGTTTTTAAAAGTGCTTCCAGAAAGGGCAACTCTAAGACCTTTCAGTACAACTCTTCAAGTCTGAAGTTCAAATACTTGGAAATAAAGATTTTTATAAGAACAAAAATTACTGTTGAGGACAACTTTCCATGATATAATTACTATTCTAAATTAAAGAACAAAGCTACCCAGTAGAATTTGCTTTTCAATGAAACTATTTCAGGATTAATTAGTGACAACTTACAACAGAATTTTTTCCATAATAAAGCTAACACAGAGGAGCTAGTAATTTGAAACAGAAACTAAACATTAAGTTGCAAAAAGGGAAGCTGTAGTAAATCAGTGAAGTTGTTACTTCAGCAGGCTAGATAAAGAATCTCAGCAAGAAGGAAGCTGCCTTCCCCTCTCCATCCCCTTTAAATTAAAGATGCAAGAACTACATAAAGACTGTATCCCAAGAAGATACAAAGTGCTTATTCTGTCTGGAACCGTCCCCTGCTGCATATAAGGATATCTATTGTGAAGGGAAGAGACTGCTCCCATGTACAGAAAAAGCACTGGTTAACTAAGAGCTGTCACAGAATCACAGAATTGTTTGGGTTGGAAAAGACCCTTAAGATTATATAG